GCCTGGTGTGAGCTTAAAGCTGCCAGGTCCAGAACTTGAACCGTGGTCGGCTACGTGGGAGTCCAACGACATCACCATTATGCCATCTGCTGTTCCCAGCCTCTGAGGTTTCAAGCGCCATTATGAAGTCACAGATTCAGTTATGCTTCACCCAATTCAAGTGGCTGCAGTCCTTTTCCTTCCTGACCCTCCAGTTGTGCCATCTTTGGCCAGGAGGGAAATGGACACTTAGAAACAGCCATTCTCCTCCTAAGGCACTGGAAGGCACAGGCCAGATGCGCTCCCCTGGTGAGTATGCGAGCCCCGCCCTGGGAATTACTAAAATAAGCAGCATTCCTGGAGAAGGGGGCACTCTTCCACAGTGGGAGGGAAGGCAAATTAATTCCGCTATTACATAAGACAGGACGGAGGCCCCTCGCCACACTCAACATAGACCTCCCCTATGATCCAGCATGCCTGCTGCTAGGTGAGAGAACTGTCGAATACTTAGATATACAGTGTGGGGGCCCCAGCTCTGGGTGAGGACCTTTGAAATACTCAGACAGCGCTGGGTCGGAGACGGAGTGAGGTCTGTGCATCCTGTGGGCAGGGGCTGGGGTGGGGTGAGTGCTGAGAGCTGCCCGTGTGCCTGCCACGCATTCGGCACGTGTGTATCTGGTGAACCTCAGCTGTCTGCGGACAACTTGCAGGGGGCAGGGATGCTTACAGTCTAGATAAGAGTCTCCTGTTGGACAAAAACCGCCCCTGACAGCTGGGCTGGAGCTCAAGTGCTCTGGGTTCCAAGGAGATGCTGTTTTTCTGGGTCCTTACCTTGGTCCATGTGAGCCCTCAGAGCCCCCTTCTCCCTCTTGGTCCAAATGGACTGTCCTTTTCAAAGCATTCGTGGACACTGTCAGGACGCCCTAGGGAGGGGTGTCCACAGGTGGGAGTCCAGCACACAAAGCAGTGACCTCTGCGATCCCCACTGTGCCTGTTCCACAGATGAGGAAACTGAGACTCCCACCCTGCATGAGGCCAAGCACAGGGGGAGTGGCAGGGTCTGGCTAGTGGATTAGCAGTTCTCAAGGCATTCGTGGTCTGCCGGACACCTGTCCCACCGGCTGCTCCCAGCATGGGCGAGGAGGGCTTTCACAACTCTCAGCATTCCTGAATCTCAGAGGACTCATCCTGGTTAGTCTTCATTCCTCTAAAGGGCTGCCCTCACAATCTCCCTTCCTCTAGCCAGGACTGCGGTGAGTCACTCAGCGGGGGCGGCCCTCACCCTCAGAGGGAAAGGAGAATGAGTTTGTCAGAGGCTTGGGTCCTCACTGGGCAGCCCAGGGCAACCCAGAGTAAGGGAGGAAGTGCCTGCTTCTCTCCCAGCCTTCCTCTGTCCTGACAGCCCGAAGCAGGCCAGCTCTCCCTGAGCCGGCTGCTCCAAGGCTGAGGCCAGCTGTGTTGCTGCCATGGACCAGCAGAGGGCGCTGGACCCCGAGGCTCCCACAAGGGCGGCTGGCCAGGAGGTGTCCCAGAGAGAATCTCCAGTCCAAAGCATCTTCAAGAAGAAAACAGCCAGGACTGGACCCTAGACCTCTGACAGCCCCTCTCCCACCCCAACCATACACAGTGACCTGAGGAGAGCTATCATTTCTGTCAAGCTTTGTGCCTTTGTTCCTGTTAAGTGTGAAACCTCCCTGACCTGGTCCTCATTTTGCAAAAATCAAAATAAAGTCTCACAGAAAACCCCATCTTAACCCATGAAGACCCACAGACCCCTGCCCTGTCCTTCAGCCTGGTCTGGAAGTTGAGTAGTCGAGACTGTGAGCTGACTGTGGGTGCAGGTAAGTGTTGGGGTGGAGGGGTGAGGAAGTGTCTTCCTGTTGAGGGTGAGGTGGGCAGGAGGGACCGAGCTTTGCTGTGGGAGTTAGAAAGCACCTCCTGTGTCCAAGCCCCACTTCCCAACTGTGTGACCCTGGGTGGGTTACTTAACTGCCTGTGCCTCAGTTTCCTCCTGTAAAATGGGGCAACTGGAGCATTCAGTTCAGCAAAGCAGCGCCAGGACGTGTTTAGCATGGGTGCTGGCATGTCAGAATCCTAGCTTTCATTATCTTCCTCACACTCAGGCTGAACCTGAGTAGAAATGGACTAGCACCTGGGACCAGCAGATGACATAATGGCTACGTTCCTGGACTCCCATGTAGTCGGCCGTGGTTCGAGTCCCAGACCCAAAAAAAAAAAGAAGTGGACTAGAACGTGCCAGCCAGAAGGATGGAAGTACAAGCTGGGGGAAGGCTGGAGGTGGGCTGAGTGTCTGCAGGGCCAGGGCCAGGGCCTTAGAGCTGAAGACAGGGCTTGCGGTTGGAGCCCAGGGTCCTCTCAGTGGGGCAGTGGGAGCGAGGAGAGGCAGTAAGGGGCACCCCACATCCCCAGCCCACCCCCAGCACTTGCCCTAAACAGCCTGCTTCTGCTCCTTTCTTTTCTTTCTTCTTCTTCTTCTGTTTTTTTTTTTAAGAAAACTCATCTTGCAACAGTACGCGGCAGCCAGTAAAAACACGTTACTCCTTAACGTGTTAGCAAAACAGCCTCCAATTTGAATATTGGCTCTTCCTTCCATCTGTGGCAGTTTGCACAGATTTTTTTTTAGAGTGGCAGAATGCCTCGTGTATGCACCAGCCGGCTGCAGGCACTATCCACTGTCACAGGGCCTCCCTGGGGGCCTGAGGAGCCCCCATACCAGTTCCCGTCACCCCCCACCCCAGCCCCATCTACTGCCTCTGCAGGGTGTTGGGTCCCAGCAGAGGGGCTCGTGTCCCCAAGGCTTTGCACAAATGGGCCCCAGATTTATGGATTTCGCAGACTGGTAAACTGTGCCCCAAACCAACGGAAGAACCAACCTAGGGACGCTAGCTCCTGAGTTTGCAAAGGAAAGCTCTTGGAGAGGGGGAAGAAAGGCCATCATCCACGATCCCCTTTCGATTCATCAATGGAGGGACATTTTCACATCAAGAAGGGAAGACTCAAAGAATAAAAGATAGGTCTTGGGGCCAGCAGAGGGCATAGCAGTCACATCGCAGGACTCCCACATGGCTGACCATGGTTTGAGTCCTGGACCCGGTGACTTGAAACTCATGCCAGTGTCGTGTGCGTAAGTGTTCAAGATCCCAAGAGAATAGAGGAGGGATTGCAGCACGGCCATCCCCCCTGGGGAGTGATTACTCACTTTCCCTCTCTGTCTCTGTCCTTCTCTTTCTCTCTAGTGAGCTCACGTGACCAAAGGCAAAAACCTGTAAAAAAAAAAAAGAAAAAAGAAAAAAGATAGGTCTTTACATTGAACATTTAGCTTTATGATAATCCACCATATTTATTTTTCAGCTGCAGGTTAAAACTAATGCTGGAGGATCTGCAGGTCAGCCGTGAGGGAGTCATGAGCTCTGTGCCCTAGGCATATCAGCTGGACCCTGGGCCAGAACCACTCTGGGCTTCCCCGTCCCCAGAGCCCTCAAGAGAACCAGGGCCGAAAATTTAGTCCTTAGAAGATATACACTGCTCCGGAGCTTGTCAAGTGGCACAGGATCAAGGAAGGAATAAATAGCAATATTTTATAAGTTTTAAAATGCTATTTTAACACAAATGCCAGAGCAACTATAGCATAAATCAACAGCGACACCCAGAAGTATGTTTGTACAAGAAATGTAATAAGCTGGTATGAAAAACAGTGTCAACTGGTGCAGATGGCAGAAAAAGCCAATATTCAAATGTATGCTGTTTTACTAACACATTAAAGATCAACATTTTGCTACCTGCTGCTCATGATAGCAGGATTAAAAAAAAACACACAACACACACATAGACTCACGCATGATATTCTAACCCAGAGAATGAAAGAGTCTTAAAGAAATTGTCAAGCACTTTCTATACTTCATCTGGTGGTTTTAAAGCTTCTGAGGTTCAGAGAAAAATTTGCATCTGAAAATGCGGCTCCCCACCCCCCAGCTGCCTGATGTTTGAGAAAATTAGGAAACGAGGATGAGAAAATATCAGCTTAGAGGTCCTTAGAGGTCTCCTTCTGGATTAGTAGCACGAATAGAATTATCCCGAGCGAGCGTTCATGGTGCCCACCACGGGGCTATTTTTAAATATCATTTATTTATTTTATTTGTCATTATTATTATTGTTGTTATTATTTAAAGTATGCTATAGAGCAGGTGTGCTCACCAGAGACAGACAGAGAGAAAGAGAGAAAGTAAGAAAGCAAGTCGCCAGGTCTAGGACTCAAACCATGCTCAGCCATGTGGGAGTCCGGTGCCTTCACCACCACCACGCCACCTCCTGGCCCCACACAGGGCTGTTTTTTTCTTTTATTTTTGCTATCGGGCATGTGTACTTGCCAGAGAGATAGACAGAAAGTGAGAAATCACCCCCACCCCCTCCGGGGAGATGGCCATGCTGCAGTTTCTTCGGCTTCATTCTCCTCTCAGGATTTTGGGCATACATGCACACACACCTGGCATGAGTTTCAAGACTCAAATCATGATTGACCACGTGGGAGTCCAGTGCCTTAACCTCTATGCCACCTGCTGGCTCCCACAGAGCTTTTTTATTTTTTAAAAAAAAAGAGAGATTTTTGCGGGAATAGCAGTTGGTGTAATGGCTATGTCACTGGACTCCCATGTAGTCGATTGGGGGTTGTATTTAGACTCGGTGTCTTAAATTCACGTCGGGTGCGTGTGTGCCCAAGATCCTGAAAAGAGAATGGAGGAGAAGGGATTGGGTGTGGCCATCCCCCCCTGGAGGGTGATTTCTCGCTCTCTGTCTCTCTGGCGAGCGCACGCACCCTATAGCAAAAACCTCTCAGGAAAAAAAAGAAAAGAGAGAGAGATTTTTGCTATTTTGTATGTGCTCACTGGAGACAGAGACAGAAAGCGAGAAATTTGCCTGGGGGCAGCACAGAGCACCACAGGCAGCCTCTACTGTCCTCATGAGCACTGAAGTAGAATAAGTGACATCCCCCGCCAAAGATGAGTCCATGTCCCGGAACCTGTGCATGTGGCCTTATTTGTTAAAAGAGTCTTTGCAGGGGCCAGCGTGTGGAATGGTGATTTTTTTTTTTTTTTGGAGAGGTTTTTGCTATAGGGCACGTGTGATAGCCAGAAAGACAGAGAGAGACAGAGAGATAGAAAGCGAGAAATCACCCCCCAGGGGGGATGGCCACGCCGCAATCCCTTCTCCTCCATTCTCCTCTCGGGATCTTGGGCACACAGCACACGTACCCTGTGTGATTTTAAGCCAATGGGTCCGGGACTCGAACCACAGTCAGCTACATGGGAGTTCAGCACCATAGCCATTATGTTAACTGCTGGTCCCATGGCATGATGATAAGACACTAGACTCCTACATGGCTGATGGCAGTTCGAGTCCCAGACCTGGCAGCTTGCTTTCTCACTTTCTCTCTCTCTCTCTCTCTCTGGTGAATGGAAAAAAAAAAAAGTAATAAGTAAAATAGAATCTTTTTTTTAAAGAAATACCTTTATAGATGTAATTGAGTTAAGGATCTTGAGATGAGATCACCTGGATCCCTCAGGCTAGCTCTAAATCAGAGGCAGGTGTTCTGACAAGAGGCCACGGAGGTGCAGGCAGAGGCTGGAGAGATGCAGCCATAAGCCAAAGAACATGGGGAGGCACCGAGCACGAGAGGCAGGAAGGACGCTCCCCTAGAGCATTGAGGGGGAGTAGCCCTGCCGACACCTCGATCTTGGACTTCAGAACGGTGAGCAAATCCAGTTCTGCTGTTTGAAGCCCCAGGTTTCTGGTCATTTGTTAGGGCAGCCTCAGGAAATTCGTGGTCAGTGGCCCCAGTATGTGTGTCTCCGGTTTTGTAGACACCTGAGCCCCTTAGCTTGGACTGTTTATTTTATTTTTTTTAAAAGATGACTCCTGAATTACAAATGATCATTATACATCTTCCTTTTTTTTTCTTTAAGAGAGATTTTTGCTATAGGGAGCATGTGCTCACCAGAGACAGAGAGAAAGCTAGAACTCACTCCCCAGGGAAGATGGCCATGCCATAATCCCTTCTCCTCCATTTTCTTCTTGGGATTTTGGGCATGCATATGCATTTGCACCCAGCGTGAGGTTCAAGCCACCGTCCAAGACTCAAATTGCGTCTGCTGGTCTTGATCATTACACATCATTGTGGGGTACTTGTGCTTTTCCCAAGTATGCATACAGTGTGTGATGGCCCATCAAAGATACATACATATTCATCCTTTCACCATTGGTATTACATAGTGTCATACACAGTCAATACTATTCCTAGTGGGTTTTCGTTGTGATAGTTTTTAAGCATATACTCAATAGTCACTGACGTGTTTATTCAGCTGTGGCAAGTAATCCATAACCTAGTCCGCTTGTTTCTGTGCCTTTCTTGCCTGTCAGTCATTTTCTCCTTGACCTACCCACCCCACTCCCTTGGACCTCTGATAGCTACTATCTCTGTCTCTACTTCCACGCCATCGAGTGCGTCGGTTCCTGCCAGAGGGTGGACACTTGGTAAATGTTACACAGGGTGAACAGTATTTGTCTTCCATAGCCTGCTCATTTCACTTCTTGTATCCTCTAGGTTTGCCCACTTTAAGAAAAAAATGTTCTCAGAGGGTGCACGCACTTGCTGGAATGAGAGAAAGACAGAAGGAGAGTGAGAAAGCACCCTCCATGGGGAAAGGTCACATCATATTCTCTTCTCCATCTTTCCCTCCTTTCGGGATTTTGGGCACACACACACACACACATGTGTATAGCGTGTTTTGGAGGCCACCGGGTCCAGAACTTGAACCGCATGATTTTCAGTCGTGTGGGATCCAGCCACCTTACCCACCATGCCACAGCTGGCCCAGGTTTGTCCACTTTGTGTCAAATGACACGATCTCATTGTTCTTTGTGGCAGAGTAGTATTCCATTGTGTACTGGGTATATAGGCTGCATTTTTTTTTTTAAAAATTAATCTTATTCATTGTCACTTTTTAAATTGTTTTTGTAATTGATGAGAGAGAGAGAAGGAAACTGAGAGAGCAAGCTGCCAGGTCCAGGGCTTGAACTGCTATCAGCCATGCGGGAGTCCAGCCACCTTCACCACCACACCACCTGCTGGCCCCTAAGCTGCATTTTTTTAATCCATTCACCAGTGGTTGGGCACTGAGGTTGATCCCATGACTTAGCTATGGCGATTATGGCTGATGGCTGCCATAAACATGGATCTGCAAGTGTCTCACCAACACTGATTTTTCCATCTTTTAGGCAAATACCCAAAGAGTGGGATTTCCGGGTCATAGAGTAATTTGATTTTTAGATTTTTGAGGAGCGTCCACACTGTTTTCCACAGTACTAGTTATATTCCCTCCAGCAGTACATGGGAGTTCTTTTCCCCACAACTGCCCCAGCACTGGTTCATACCTATTCTGACTGGGGTTAGGGGATGCCTCATTGTGGTTTTGATTTGCATTTCCCTTACGACAGAAGATGTTGAATGCTTTTTCATAGGTATTTATTTATTTATTTATTTATTTATGGAACAGTTTTTGCCTTAGGATGTATTCATTCGCCAGAGAGACAGAAACAGTGAGAGGGAAAGTGAAAAATCACCCCCAAGGGGGATGGCCATGCCCCAGTTCCTTCTTGATTCCATTCTTCTCCTGGAACCTTGGCCTTCCACACAGCCAGCAGGTGCAGGACTCAAACCACAGTCAGCCCTGCAGGAGTCCAGTGATATAATCGCTACACCATCTGCTGGCTCTCATGTGCTTTTTAACCATTCACATCAGACCTTTGCTTTTTAATTCTATTTATTTCCTTCATGAGCTAGAGGCACAGAGACAGAGACAGGGAGACAGGCACCTCAACAATGCCCCCATGCCATGGTCCACCCCCAGTCCTAGCCAGCCTGGATCATGGGCATGTGCACATGTCCGGCATGCACAGGGAGGCCCTAGGATGTGAACCTGGGACCTTCCCATGTGAATCTATTGCTTTGCCACTACCAGTCCCTGCTCCTCAGGCTCTTCAAGGGCTTCCAAGGCTCTTAGTATGGCCTGTAAACCCCTCAGGATTTTAGCTCCTAGGTTGCATGTGTCCCTGAGCTCTTGCCCTGCTGACCTGGCCATAGCACTGTAGGCTCCGGGCCTGCCACCTCCCAGCCCTGGCCCACCTGCTTCCTCTGCCTCAGGTACTCTCTTCTCCTCACTCCCCTCCTCTTCAGGGAAGTTGGCCTCGCCCCTGGCCTCTGTGTTGACCCCTCTTGAGCATGGCCCACCCAGTCCTGGTGGGGATGCCCACGGCTCTCTCCCTCCAGCCTGGAAGTACCTGGAAGGTGGGAACTGCACCTGCTTTCTTTGACGTCACAGCCCCAAACCCGGCGGAGTCTAAAACACAAGAGATGCTCGGCTAGTGCTGATTACATGTACGGAAGAATTCATACATGTGCAAACGGTCGTGGGCAGAAAGGGACAACGGGACAATGCCCTGCCATGTTGTACCCATTAAATTGACCAAAATATAGACGTGTGATAACACCGAGGGTGGGAGGGTGTGGGAGCGTATTCTCGTGTCCATGTTCCAAGTATGAACCAGGATTGCAGATGCACTTTGTGGTATATGTAAATATTTCAAGTGCACGTGCTCTTCGACCCAGAAGTTTCGTTCTTTGTCTTCATCCCAGAGAAATCTTGACCCAAGAGGCCTGTGCGATAGCCTTCACTGGAGCTTTGGAATAACGGACAGCCAGCCTACCTGTTCACAGAGGACGGCCGAAATAAGCCGTGAGCTGTCTGTGTGGGGAGGAAGACTTGAGATATAGCTCATCGCAGTGACAAACCGTGAGCCTGGAAAGTCTGTAATGTGACGTATGCATTACAGTAGTGTACTTTGTTTTAAAGGTTTTTACAAGCACATGAGCTTGCCAGAGAGACAGAGAGAAGGAAAGTGAGAAATCACCCCCACGCAGGGATGGCCAAGCACAGTCCCTTCTCCTCTGTTCTCCTCTTGGGATCTTGGGCATGCATACACACATGCCCAGCATGATTTTCAAGCCACCTGGTCCAGGACTCAAACTGCAGTTGGCCATGTGGGAGTCTAACACCTTAACCACGATAATGTACCTCTGTTTTTATTTTCGTTCCTTGTTTTTCAGCAAAATCGCCCCCCAAATTATTGGCTCATCAGAAGAGTCATGACACATTTTTTGCATAGGAAAACGTGACTTTTCTGACGACCCAATGTATTACCAAGGATCTGGGCGGTGGTTCACACGAGGAGCAGTTTTGCTCCCAGGGTTCATGGGGCAACGTCTGGTGACATTTCTGTCTATGACAACCAGGTACTACTGGCATCCAGTGGGTAAGAGCCAGGAAAGTGGCTAAACATCTCACAAAACACGAGACAACCCCACAACCCAGAGTTGTCCAGCCAGGACTGCTATGAGTGCCAGAGATGAGAAACCCCGCTCTGCACGCAGGGCAGCGTCTACAGCGGTACAAGTCAAACTGACAACAGGGGTGACCTCTGGGAGGGCTCTGGAGTTCGGGTGCTGGTCAAAGAGAACTTTCATCCTATGGGTGAGGTTTTCACTTTATTTCCTAGAATACACGTAGGTACGATTATGTGTCTAAAGTCACCAAGGACAGAAAGGAGGGAAGGTGAGAGAGGACCTCCCTAGACTTGGCCAGGTCTGTCCCATGTCTCCAGGGCAGCAGATGGGTGTGTACTGGTGGCAGGACCAGGGTCATTTTAGTCACCACTTTCCCACACACCAGTCCAAAGGGCCTTGTCCTGGGGCAGGCAGTCAGCACATGGCGACACTCACGGAAGACCTGTGACGACTCTCCCTGACACCAGCCAGAGTTTACGTTTTCACCTTTCCCATAATGAATGTGATGTTTTTAGCAGCTCTGCTGAATGTTTTCTAAAACAGCCTCATTTACCAAAGCGTTATTACCAGAAAATTGTTACAGCTTCCAAACCAACTTCATACAATCACCCCCACGGTTACGGAGTGCCTCCATGTTCTCGGGATGGCAGACGTCTCCAAACAATTCACGAGAAGAAGCGACATTTGTGGTACCCTTCACAGTCACAGCATAGAGGCAGGCTCTCTGCTGATTCCAGCCGGTACCAAGACCCGGGGCGAGGGAGGCCAGGGGCGTTTCAGTATTGCCTGAGAACTCTGGTGATACCTGAACCCCGCTCCTCAGAGCAAATGAAAACACTGCAGCAAGGCTAACGGGTCCTTTAACCCCTCCCCGCAAACGACCCCTGTTACCCCATCCTGGCATCATTACCAGAACTTGATCCCATGTGTTTCCATAGGTAGGTTAAGTAGGTCGGTAGAGACATAATACATAGACAACAAATGATAGGTGGGTAGATAGATAAATGATAGCTAGGTAATAGATAAATACATAGGTAGATATATTGGGCTGTTGGAAAGGTCATGACACATTTTTGCATTAAAAAATACATCATAACTTTTTCGACAACCCGATAGATAGATAATTGACTGAGATAGATGATTAATCAGTGATCGATGATTGATAGGTGATTGACATATGGTAATAGACAGATTTGCAGCCACACTTGTTTTCTGGGGCATTTCCTTCCCTAGGAATGGCACCATATGCTGTACCCTGTGCCTTAGCTCTCCTTTCATCCTCAGCGCGTACCTGGGAGGTCTTTGTTTGGCTTCTCTGTTCTGTTAACCACATCGTGAGCTGAAGCAGAGGCAGATGAGGAGGAGCGGGACCTGAATCTGCCCTGCTCACTGGCCAGACGTGGCTGTATCGGCCCAGAGGCCCGATGGAGTCTTTGTAATTCGTCTGCCCAGATGGGACGCCTTTCTGGGATCCTCACAAGTACTTCCGGTAGCCAAGACCAGCAAGACCCAATTCTGAGCAACTGAACACGCAGGGTGTTAGTCGTGCAAGGTTTCCTCACACGTATCCTTGTCCTTGCTTCCCTTACACATGTGTCTACAGGTGGGCACTCTGAGCTTGCCAGAGAAGTCACAGATGGGATCATTGCTTTTTAAAAAAGAATTATTTTATTTATTTTAATTTTTGACTAATGAGAAAAGGCAAGGTGCCAGGTCTGGGACTCAAATCACAGTTGGCTATGTAAGAGTCCAGTGCCTTAACCACCATGCTACCTTCTGGTCCCAATGGAGTCATTTTTGAACCTACCTGGCCCCATGAAGAAGGCAACCTGGGATTATAAGTCATGGACAACAACGGAGGACCCTGGGCTCAGCAGAGCAGGGGCTTTTCGGAGGTCCCCTGGGAAGCAACCAAACACCCAAAACCCAGTTCAGGGTTGGGTCCTCTGCTCTAGATGGCAACAGGGCCAGAGCACAGCTTCTGACCACACAAGTGGTGAGAGTCACAGGGAGGGAAGGGAGGCCGGGAAGGCCCTTCTGGGGCGTGCTACCCTGTTTATGGAGAAGGGACAGGAATGTGCAGATCTGGTGGGCGAGTGCTCCAGGCAGGAGGACCTCAAGTTCAAAGGCCTGGCATCAGGATGCCTCTGCTGGGAATGGCATGAAAGCTCAGAGAACTGAGGTGTCCTGAAGGAGAGGATATCCCTGAGTACCCTCATGGGTAAGGAGCAGGCTCAGGAAAGTTCCTCCTTCCTCTCTCTGCCATCAGTTCTTCCAAAGCCCCCAGACAGCCAGAAAACAGACCGCTCAATGCATGCAGCTCAGCCTGGAGCAGCGTCAAGGTGATAGTGACAGCAATGTAGCTTCTTCGGAGTCGTCCTGCGGCCTTCCCTGCTGTGAAGTCCTGAATTCACTGATCCCACTCCACGCCACCCTCAAAGGTATCCCAGCCCTGGGAAGGGGGCAGACCTCACCCCCTACCCTCACCCGCTGTCCCTGGGCCTCTTCTACAGGACATGGGCCACTGCTCTGAAAAGGCAGCAGCAGCACAGCAGCATGTCCGTGATCAGAACCCCAGACAGCTGCTCCCCCCATGACCCTCAACCTCACCATAGATGCACCATTCTATGGGGGTGGCTGGTGGTGAGTAGGCGACATATTGCTCCCCCCTTGGCCACCACATCTCTGGATGTCCTTCCAGTCAGTACCTCCCCTCTCCAGCCTGGTTTCCTCCTACATATAGGGAGGGAGATTTTAGCACCCCCCCTGGGGCATGTGCAAGTTTTTAGAAAGACACCCGGGTCTCAATCCCAGTATTCCCTGCAATCCTCATAAATCCTTTCTGAAAGATGGCCTTCCATCTCCTTCCAAAAAGCCCCTTGAGTTCCCAGGCTCTGGGTTTCGATTCATCCCCCAGGGGCTCAAACCCAGTCAAGGCTGCATCTGATTGGCACACGTTTGTTTGCTTTGGTGTCATAGTGATGTTTCTGGACTCCCACTAGTCAACCGCAGTTTGAGTCCTAAACCCAGCAGCTTAAAATACACACTGAGCGCATGTGTGTGCATACCCCAGATCCCGAGAGGAGAATGGAGGAGAAGGGATTGCAGTGTGGTCATCCGTCCTGGGGGGTGACTTCTCACTTTCTGTCGCTCTGGTGAGCTCACATGCCCTATAGTAAAAACTCTCTAAAGTAAAAAATAATAAATAATAATAATTTGAAAGAGTTGCAAAGATTTGAAAATTGGGAGAAATTATGTTAGAAGTGAAGGCTGCCAGATCCTATGAGAAAATCCAGTGCTATGGTGATGCTGGGCCACACTGAAGTCCACACAGAGCCACAGGGCCCCTGGGCCCTCAAGCTATCTCCAGTCTGCAGTCGCCACCACTCCCTGCTACCCCACAGCAAAAGCCAGCTGGGTCCTTCCCCCAGCCCCTCTGCTTCCACACAGGACAATGTGTGTTTCTGGGTGTCTTAGGGCACTGGAAGAACTGAGAGCAGGAAAGGAAGGGGAATTGTCCCGAGCCTAGGGGAACTTGAGGGTGCTGGGATTCCAAGTCCACGGGCTATTCCCTCAGGACCCGACAGGGTCTCAGCAGGGAAGGAGAGTGGCTGGGCTCAGTCCTGAGTCTCTGAGCCTGCAAAGCCCCATGCTTGGTGGAGAGGGGAGATACCCAAGGCCATAAAGGGGCAGGATGCGGCATCTCACTGTAACCAAAGTGACCCCAACACTAGAGCAGGCTCTCGGAAGTTCAATTAGGTGCAAGACGTCAAATACTTTGCATGATCTTTTTTTTTTTATTTTAATTTTTTTAACTTCATTTATTTATTTATTTATTTTAATTTGACCGGACAGAGAGAGAGGAAGTGAGAAAGCAAGCTGCCAGGTCCGGGACCCAAACCGTGGTCAGCCATGTGGGAGTCCAGCTCCCTTAACCACCATGCCACCTGCTGACCCCATATTTTGCATGATCTTAAGGCAGGGCTGGGGTGCAGAGAGCTCTAAAAGGACAGAGAATGTCTCTCAGGCAGGTGGGACAGGTACCCAGAGTTTCATTACATGAAATCAAATGAAATGTAAAGGAAATAAAGCCATGCACATCCCAGTTGGGACATGAGTAATCATTCAACCACCCGTTCTCTAAAACAGCCCCTGCCAGTGGAGGCAGCAAGGGATGGGGGTAGGGGTGAGATGGAGGTGGAAAGAGGAGCAAAGGCCACACACTGCCCCCCACCAAGTGCACACACACCACCCCTCCACACACACATACACACAACACCTCTAACTGTGGGTCAGATGGTGTCTTCCCAAATTCATGTTACAGCCCAGAACCTCACGACATGCCTGTGTTTGCAGGTGGGGACATTGGAGAGGTGATTAAGTCTACATGAAGCCATCACGGTATGCCCTAATCCCATCTGACTGATGTCCTTATGAAAAGAAGAAAATCTGGACACGCCAGGAGGCATCAGGGACGCATGCTCAGAGGAAAGGCCATGTGAGGACTCAGCGTGAAGGCGGCCTCTGCAAGCTGGGAGGAAAGGCCTTGTGAAAACCCAACCCTGCCCGCACCTTGTCTCCTCCAGACCTGGGAGAAAATATTGATAGGTTCCTGTCATCAAAGCCACTTAGTTGATGGTGTTTTATTATGACCTGAGTTAACTGATAACGACCTCCAAGTATGCACACACCAGTCCAACACTGACTCAGATAAACACCCACACACATATTGATCCCCAAACTCTCACAGACCCTTACACACACACACACACACACACACACACACACACACTACCATGTCCCTGCCCATTTTAGCAGGGTGCAAACACTGAGCCTCCCTCGATCAATATTCTCATTTATAGTTAGGTCAATGAACTTGTCACAACTTAGTCAATGGATGCCGTCACTTGTCAGAGAGGAGCCAAGCTAAAGTCTCTTCAGGTAACCAAACATGACTTGCAATCTGCAGCGTTGGTAACGCTGAGACTTCCCTTCCTGCACACGTCTGCTTGAATGGGCGGGTGGCGGTGAGGTGGATGCTGCTGCTTGGATAAAAGCAGCCACCTCGTTAGTTTGTTCACCACAGGCACCAGATCATATGGCCGACTTCCAGAAAACACTAGTGCTATAAATGACAGGTTAGCAAATGGTATATTAAAACTCTTAAAAATTTTTTGTTTAGGTTTTTGCCATAGGACGTGTGTGCGTGCCTAAGACAGATGAAGACAGAGAGAGGGAAAGTGAGAAATCACTCTCCAGGAGAGATGGCCATGCAACAAGCCCTTCTCTTCCATTTTTCTCTCTGGATTTTGGGCATGCATGCACATGCACGCAGGATGATTTTCAAGCTTCCAGGTGTAGGACTTGAACCATGGTCAGCCATGCGGGAATCCAGTGCCTTCACCATGATGCCAATTGCTGGCTCTCATATTTTTAAATTTTTTAGGATTTTTTTTTTTTGTCATAGGGCTTGTGTGCTTGCTGAAGAGAAATAGAGAGAAAGTGAGAAATTACTCCCCAGGGGCGATGGCCATGCTGCAATCCCCTCTCCCTCATTCTCCTCCTGGGATTTTGGGCATGGACACACATACACCAGCATAATTTTCAAGCCTCCAGGTCCAGGACTTGAACTGCGGTCGGTCATACAGGAATCCAACGCCCTAACAATGATGCCACTGCTGGCTCCCCAAACTCTTTCAATTATGAAAAATGTACCACATGGTGGGTGTGCTCCTCCAGAGAGAGAAAGAAGGCAAGAAAGCTCTCCCACTGGGGTGTGGTCATACCATGATCCCTTTCCTCCAGTTCTTCATTCTTTCAGGACTTGGAGCACATACACACACGTGCTTGGTGTGTTTTTCAAGCCAAGAGACCAGAGCTTCAAACTCCCAGTGGGGAGCTGGATCCCAACACACAGCGCTTAACCACTTCTGTGCTAGAGCGTCAGTCTGAAACTCTACATTATTCCGAAACACTCCAGGAGCCTGCAGATCCCTGGAGTCAAAGGCTGGCTTCACAGTACCGTGGTTAGGCAGGATCGCTGGTTAATTGGGAGTTCTGGCTAAAGGGGTGTCAGAGGAGCTCCCCGTCCCTACATTCTCTAAGACTATTCATAGATTAAACTAGATACCAGCCAGGTGGGTCTGCAGAGGAGGCATTCTTGAATCAGATTCTGATACCATCTCTTTCCTGGATCAAGGACAGACAAGTACCAAACACGCGTTGGCTTGTGCAATGTTCCCGAAGTATGTCCTGCAGGGATAAGGCCGCTCTTTCCTCAGGGCAGCCCTCCCAGGCAAGCCAGGTCCCGTCCAGGGCTGGCCATCCAGCTTGCTGGCTCAGCACACTGCATGGTTCATCACCTCTGGGCTGCCAGAGTCACGCCTGTTCTCCTCCTGGGTGCAGACTCTGTGAACCGTTTCCCTCTGCTCTAGAAATACCTGAGTCTGGGGAATTTAAAAGACAGATGTTTTTTCAGCTCTGAATTTGAAGGTCTGAGGTCCAGGGGCTGTGTCTGGTGAGAGTTTTCTTGTGGGTGGACAATGCAGAGAGCAGGTGCCCGAGCAGAGCAGTGTGTCATGTCCAAGTGTCTCATTTCCTGTTTTTTTCTTTTCTTTTCTTTTTCTTTTTTTCAGAGAGAGAGATTTTTGCTATAGGGCATGTGTCCTCACTGGAGAGACAGAGACAAAGAGACAGAAAATGAGAAATCACCCTCCAGGGGATGACCACCCTGCAATTCCTTCTCCTCCACTCTCCACTCAGGATTTGGGGCATATATGCACACATACCCGGTATGAGTTTTTAAGTCACTGGGTCTGGGACTTGAACCTCAGTCAACTACATGGGAGTGCTGCAATGTCACCATTATGCCATCTGTTGGCCCCTCTATTTTTTTTTTAAGAATTATGTAATTTTATTTATCATTATTGTTATTTTAATTTGCTACAGGGCACGTGTGCTTACCACAGAGAGAGAAAGGGAAAATGAGAAAGCAAGCTGCCGGGTGCAGGACTCAACCCGCAGTCTGCCATGTGGGAGTCCACAGCCTTAACCACCAGACCACCTACTGGCCCCTTGTTCATTTTCTTCTTAATCAGAACATTCTGGGCTGGGACCAGCAGATGGCATGATGGCTGTCTTTGGACTCCAGTGTAGTCAACAACCACGGTTCAATTCCCAGACCCAATGGCTTAAAATCACACCGTGTTTGTGCCCAAGATCCAGAGAGGAGAATGGAGGAGAAGGGATTGCGGCGTGGCCATCCCCCTGGGGGGTGATTTCTTGCTTTCTGTCTCTCTGTCTCTCTGTCTCTCTCTGTCGGCGAGTGCAAGACAGATGTTTTTTCAGCTCTGAATTTGAAGGTCTGAGGTCCAGGGGCTGTGTCTGGTGAGAGTTTTCTTGTGGGTGGACAATGCAGAGAGCAGGTGCCCGAGCAGAGCAGTGTGTCATGTCCAAGTGTCTCATTTCCTGTTTTTTTCTTTTCTTTTCTTTTTCTTTTTTTCAGAGAGAGAGATTTTTGCTATAGGGCATGTGTCCTCACTGGAGAGACAGAGACAAAGAGACAGAAAATGAGAAATCACCCTCCAGGGGATGACCACCCTGCAATTCCTTCTCCTCCACTCTCCACTCAGGATTTGGGGCATATATGCACACATACCCGGTATGAGTTTTTAAGTCACTGGGTCTGGGACTTGAACCTCAGTCAACTACATGGGAGTGCTGCAATGTCACCATTATGCCATCTGTTGGCCCCTCTATTTTTTTTTTAAGAATTATGTAATTTTATTTATCATTATTGTTATTTTAATTTGCTACAGGGCACGTGTGCTTACCACAGAGAGAGAAAGGGAAAATGAGAAAGCAAGCTGCCGGGTGCAGGACTCAACCCGCAGTCTGCCATGTGGGAGTCCACAGCCTTAACCACCAGACCACCTACTGGCCCCTTGTTCATTTTCTTCTTAATCAGAACATTCTGGGCTGGGACCAGCAGATGGCATGATGGCTGTCTTTGGACTCCAGTGTAGTCAACAACCACGGTTCAATTCCCAGACCCAATGGCTTAAAATCACACCGTGTTTGTGCCCAAGATCCAGAGAGGAGAATGGAGGAGAAGGGATTGCGGCGTGGCCATCCCCCTGGGGGGTGATTTCTTGCTTTCTGTCTCTCTGTCTCTCTGTCTCTCTCTGTCTTTCTGGCGAGTGCACACACCCTATAGCAAAAACCTCTCAGAAAAAAAAAGAAGAAGAAGAGGAAGAAAGAAAAAGACCATGAGAAGCTCTCTAGGAACCTGGAGCTCCTTTCCCTGGGGTCATGGTGGGTTTAAATCATACTCAGGTGGACTGGCCTCACTCTGCTCTGCGTAACCCGTCCAAGGATGTATGTCTAACAGACGACAATCGGAATGTTCCAGAGCAATGACCTGCAAGGCTCTCTTCAGGCTGTGGAAACACAGAAGCTAAGTGGGATAGACTCTGTTTCTTGACCCAAGCTGAACCAAATGCTTTGCCCTTCCTGCCTCTACTCAAAGGCCAGAACACCAGAGCTGCAAGATCAGGTTTGACCGTGGTGGGGAAAAACAAAAGAGAACAGTAGGTCTTCCTCAAAGACCTACCACCATGGTAGGCCGGGCCCCCTTTCTGACCTCTCTTTCATCAGTACCCTCCTCCATGCATCTCACCCTAGGACTCTGGGTGGGGTGACCAGGACCTCAGGGCTATTACTGGACCCCCGAGGGTATGAGAGAGAAAAGAAAGAACAGCTCTGAGCTAGGAGTCACCTGCAACTGGTGAAGGTTATGATTTCTCTTTTAATTATTTAAAGAGACATTTTCCCTGTGGAAGGATGAAAACATCTTAGGTGAAGCTAACACCCTGCTTGCCTGTACCATTGGATTCTCGTCTTCAGTCCTGTCCCCATGTGCTTCGTGAGCTCTGTACACATGGGCGCACCTGTAGGAAATGTCTAGAGACACCTTTTCAGGTGAGGTGAAAATATTCCTCCACAGATAGGTGCATTTTTTGTTTTAATGGATTCTGCTCAATTAGTTTTCTCTTTCTTTATTGCTCTCTTCCTTCCTTCCTTCTTTCCTCCCTTCTTTCTTTTTCTCCCTTCCTTCCTTCCTTCATTCCTTTTTGGGCAAGGTCTTCTGGTATTGCAATCCTTCCACTACAACTTCCTCTAGTCACTGGGATTACAGGGGCATGCACCTGGGCTTTAGATTGGACAGGGAATCAAACCTGGGCCTCTCATGTGGTCTGACTGTGAAGCACAGCATCTTGGCAATGTGAGCCACTGAGGCTGGGCCTCAACTGGGTTTTCATTAGCAATATGGCTTCACTGAGTCAACACCGAGGCAGACTTTGTCTCTTCAGTGGACCACGAGGAAGGCCTCTGGGATGAGAAAGGGTGTGTATGAGTTGTTTCCCCCCGAAAGATATGTGACACTTCTAACCCCCAGTGTCTGAATATGGTTTTATTTGGAAATAAGGTCTTTACAGATGTAATCAGGATGAGATGAGGTCATATGACACTAGAGCTATTTAGAACAGATCTTGGGACCAGCAGGTGGCACAGTGGTTAAGACACTGGACTCCCATGTGGCTGACCATGGTTCAAGTAC